ATGGCTACCAAGCCTTTGGGGATTTTCCTTATTAGAGAGTTGTATAGATTTTTCTCCTTTAGCTTACTTAAATCTTTGGTTTTTATTAGTTAGGTAGGTTCCGATTCAACACATTGTAGTTTCATTTTTATACCTATGATCTTGACTTTCTTTACCTAGGGGATGAGTACTTAAGGGGGTTAGATTTTGATAAGTTCTTTAGTGGGAATGACACTGATGAAGACTGCACATTGTAGTCGAAATACGTATCTGTCATGGATACCAAAATTAATTAAGTGGAATTAAATGGAAGATAACCTTTTTTGCTGTTTTATTTAGCATTCCGCTAACAACCCAATTTCATTACTTCATTATGATGGCTACCAAGCCTTTGGGGATTTTCCTTATTAGAGAGTTGTATAGATTTTTCTCCTTTAGCTTACTTAAATCTTTGGTTTTTATTAGTTAGGTAGGTTCCGATTCAACACATTGTAGTTTCATTTTTATACCTATGATCTTGACTTTCTTTACCTAGGGGATGAGTACTTAAGGGGGTTAGATTTTGATAAGTTCTTTAGTGGGAATGACACTGATGAAGACTGCACATTGTAGTCGAAATACGTATCTGTCATGGATACCAAAATTAATTAAGTGGAATTAAATGGAAGATAACCTTTTTTGCTGTTTTATTTTATTATTATTATTATTATTATTATTATTATAATTGTCACTTCGACACTCTTGGTTTGGCAGTACTGCCGAAAGTGTTAAATCAACCCAGAAAATTTACCACTCTCGGAAGTTAGAGATTCAACATTTTCCCTACTGAACTCAAGCTTTCTTAAGTGATTAAGTATTTTATGAGCTGAATACACGGATTCAGTGTTTCCATTTTTTACCGAAATGATTCTAAACTTTTGCAAAGTTCAGTACTGTTTGAAGTAAATCTGTAATTTCTAAAGTGATCCAAAGATTTTCTCAAGTTATTCAGTACTTTCTGAAGTGATTCTGAACTTTTCTAAAGCGATTCCAAACTTTCCTAATGTAGTTCAGTGCAAATAGATCTCGTTTTTGAAAACATAACTACAGTGCAATCTCTACAACAAGTTATTCAAGGGACCATCGAGTTATAGAATTATCGAGCTCTAGAATATCAATCCCATACAAATTCGCTATCACAGTAGCCACGACATTATTATTTCTATGGTCCTATACTTCAATCTCGAGCTAGAGGACATCGAATTTTGCAGGGTTGACTGCACTTCGTATATGTTGCCAAACCGGGGCCTTGAGTACAATTGAGTGGCTTAACGATAAGAATCAATACTCCATTAAGTAAATTCTGTTGAAAAGCTATTGATAAATTCATGGAAGTCAGGTTAATTTTTCGGTTTCCCACAACTCATTCCTCTCCATTCCCTAACTGACCTACATTCCGGACGTGACCGGAGCTGTTATTGCCTATAGCAAAATATGCAATTAACTTCTACACTAGCGCTGCGTAGTGAATGAATTCTCAGCTAATTTGTCCACTGTTTCAAAGGGCTTGGTCATCTGAACAACTTCGCCGAAGACAGAAAACTTCTAAATGGCTAGGATCTCCAGATATAGCATAAGCTAGAAGTACAAATGCACACTAGCGCCACGTAGTAAATAAAATCTCAACTTGTCTGCCCACCATCTCAAAGGTTTTGGTCAAATGAAGAACATTGTCCAAGACAGCAATTCTCTAGGTGGCCAAGATCTCAATATATAGCTTATACAAATATTGCCTTGTACACTAGTGCCACGCTGAGAATAAATTCGTTACTAATCTGCCCACCGTCAGAATGATCTTATTGACTTGAACAACTTTATCCAAGACAACAACTTTCTAGATAGCTCGGATCTCAAGATATAGCTTATACAAATATGCTCTTGCGCACTAGCGCCACGTAGTGAATGAATTCTCAACTAATCTATCCACCGTCCAAAAGGTCTTAGTAACTTGAACAACTTTGCCGAAAACAAAAACTTTCTAGATGGCCAGGATCTCAAGATATAGCTTAAGCAGTTAATACACATTCACACTAGCGCCGCGTAGTGAGAGAATTCAAAACAACTGTCCACAAACCATAAGGCCTTGATCCAATAAACAATTTTGCCCAAAACAGTAACCTTCTATATGTCCAGGATCGCGAGATATTCCATGTTGGAACCAATTAGGCCAAATCCCGTCTGTTACGTGGACGCCATATATGTATGTATGTATGTATTCTAGCACTTTACCACCCACCGCTCCGATTATACAATCGCACCACCCAACTTCACACAGTGTTCCCAAATGAACAGCTGGGAAATATTGCAAAATAATTTAGCATGACTTCTAAATCGAATAACTTTCGATTGAGATTTTTTTTTTAAGTTAAGTTCAAATAGAGTGCTATCTTCAGCATTAATTTTCAGGAATAGTTATTCTATATGCTCCATAAGTATGAGTTTGTTTGCTCTACTTAAAAGTACCCATTATGTTTAACATTTAGAAAAGTGATTTTCCCCATATTAAGAAAGTAGAATTTTCATTTAAAAATGTCAAATCGATGTTGAATTTTACTATAGAGGTGGGGGTAAAATAAAAAAAAATTAAAAAATAAAAGGTCCTCCACCTCCCCTACAATTCAAACTAAAAAGTTATTATCTAAATTGAACTCTTTTGCACTGAAAATTGATTTGTGGCCCTGAAAAGGGCCGATTGATTGTTTAGTTTGGTACGAATCTACTTGGAGCTGGTATATTTGGTGACGGCCTTGGTTCCTTCCGATACGGCGTGCTTGGCCAACTCACCCGGCAGCAGCAGACGGACGGCGGTTTGGATTTCGCGAGAGGTGATCGTCGAGCGTTTGTTGTAGTGAGCCAGACGGGACGACTCAGCAGCGATACGTTCGAAGATGTCATTGACGAAGCTGTTCATGATGCTCATGGCCTTTGACGAGACTCCGGTGTCCGGGTGGACTTGCTTCAACACCTTGTAGATGTAGATGGCATAGCTTTCCTTCCTGCGCGTCTTCCTCTTCTTCTTATCTCCCTTGACGATGGCCTTCTGAGCCTTGCCGGACTTCTTTGCGGCCTTTCCACTGGTTTTCGGTGCCATAGTAAAGCTGTTGAGTTGGGTAGAGAAACACTAATAATTTCGCTTAGACGATGGTGTCTCGTTTTATACCCGTAGCATAACAACCGACACTCGTCCCCTTTTATGTATTTTGCTACCCACTGTATGAATTGAACCCTCCTTGTATTCGTAACATGCTGCAAGGCACAGGCAAAAAGAACTCTAGTGTTGTGTAGTTGAAACGGTATTATATTAAACTAGGTATACAAACGTTTCACAAAGGTGGGAATTCTTCGAAACAGGCCTCATAGGACTATGAAATTTATATAATAATTAAAAATTTCAAAAGAACTAAAGTTGAAAGACACATCTGTGTAACTTAAATATTCATACATGTAAACCACACATATTTAAAAATCATTTATTGTCAAAAAATACACAAACGTGTTAAAATCAAACATTTTCTGTCAATACACAAAAAAACATTGCGTCATTGTTAAAATAATGTAATGTTAATCTCCCTGTAATGCACAATTGCTTGAGAAGTTTGATATAAACTTATCAAAGGTTATATTTGTTAACTTGACAAACTCGTCGATTTGGTTCGATATTCAATTGACACCCAAAAGCTTTAATCAAAGTTCCTAACCGACGATGAAAACTTTAAGAAAACAGTTGCAAACGAAAATGTCAAATTCAGCGAGATAATAGGCATTCGGATGGCGTAGGAAAACTCTGACATAATGAACACGAGAATGACTTATGGTAAAGAAACATTTCAGCTGCGAATCAGTAAGAAGCTCATCTCACTATCAGAAAAGGGCCAACTTGAAGATATTAAAAAGAAGGACCTTCATCAACAACGTATAAAAGCAGTTTGATTTCAAAAAGCCATTTGAAAATGTATAGTTTTATCGATGTTCAAGTCAGGTCACAATCTTGTATCCAAAATAAAAATAATACATATATATCTAAAATCATAGAATGGACGTACATTCGGTATGTTTATTTTCAATCATTCTAAGCATCATGAAATGCAAAAGATATCTTTTTTGTATAAGCATTGAATTAAATTTAATTTAGTCGTTTTTGTTTAGTACCGTTAATTTTGTTATTCTAAATGTAGCAAATTGTTCCAATTGGTTTAACAGCTCAAACAATATCATTTTGTTCTGTTTAATTTTAATTTTTTACCTTTCTTCCGAACACAATTAAAACTTACTATTTATACTATATACATCCTATATTGACCAAATCTAGCAAAGCTTCTTTGTTTTAAGTTCGGCTTTTCTTGCCTGGATCCGTGGTCAGTATCTCTACTACCAGTTATTTTCGCTTGATTCCATCGAATTGACATTTGCTTTGTTTTTCATCGAGGATGCCAGAGATCAAACGGTTTCCGTTCGGTTATATTCCTGGTGATCAGGCAAACTATCCAATGCCGTCTGTGACACAGGTACATTTACCTTTGTTCTCCCGTTCATCTGAACCTACCAAACCAGGCGTGATTTCAGCTATGCGGATGGAACAATATATTACCGCAAAATTAATTGATTCAATTCAATCTCCGATGGTATGATCCTGTAGGATTTCATTCTCAGTTTGAATCTTGTAAAAACATTGTTAACATTACTTGGAAACATTAGGGGGATAAGGATTTACTTACTATTCTTACCGGTGCTAAATTTCTGTTCATATTTGCTATTTGTTATTGAATAAAGCCATTACTTCAACAACACGTAAAGCATAGTTTTCTTATCACAAACTTGAAAATATATGCAATTTGACAGATCTCAAGTTTATCACCACTACTGCTACAGCGCCATTTAAAGTTGCAAATTAAATCTCTCTTTTAATTCATTTTGTGGCCCTGAAAAGGGCCGGTTTTGTTGCCAGAGTTGATGATGCTGATTTAACCTCCGAAACCATACAGAGTGCGCCCCTGACGCTTCAGAGCGTAGACAACGTCCATGGCCGTGACGGTTTTACGCTTGGCATGTTCAGTGTAGGTGACGGCATCCCGGATCACATTTTCAAGGAAAACCTTCAGAACACCTCGGGTTTCCTCGTAAATCAGACCCGAGATACGCTTGACACCACCACGACGAGCCAGACGACGGATGGCGGGCTTGGTAATACCCTGGATGTTATCACGCAGAACCTTGCGATGACGCTTGGCACCTCCTTTACCGAGTCCTTTGCCTCCCTTGCCACGTCCAGTCATTTTTTATGCTGTTTGATACTGTCTTCGGATACGGTTGAAACGAATGTGATGCTTTCTCCGACCATGAATGCCTCTTTTATACCCACTCGGGGGTTAATTTCTTCTTGCTAGTCATTGTACTCTTGTTCTTCCATGATTTGTGATTGGTTGAACATAAAAAAGGTATGCTATAAAATAGAGGGGAAGACGGTTCACATTTTTATTCAACAGCATCGACTCATCGTTTTCGCATCGAAAATAAGCATAATGGCTCGTACTAAGCAGACCGCTCGTAAGTCCACCGGAGGCAAGGCTCCTCGCAAACAACTGGCCACCAAAGCCGCTCGCAAGAGCGCTCCAGCCACCGGAGGAGTGAAGAAGCCTCATCGGTACCGGCCAGGAACCGTCGCCCTGCGTGAGATCCGCCGTTACCAAAAATCAACCGAACTGCTGATCCGCAAGTTACCTTTCCAACGTCTGGTCCGTGAAATCGCTCAGGACTTCAAGACCGATCTGCGATTCCAGAGCTCGGCCGTCATGGCCCTGCAGGAAGCCAGCGAGGCCTATCTGGTCGGTCTGTTCGAAGATACCAACCTGTGCGCCATCCACGCCAAGCGTGTCACGATCATGCCAAAGGACATCCAGCTGGCTCGTCGTATCCGTGGTGAACGCGCTTAAATCTCTCCGTCGCAACCTTAAAAAACGGCCCTTTTCAGGGCCACTACAAACATTCCACAAGAGAGTTGAGAATGCTTTCAGCAAGCCAGGTAGGGCTGCAGGACACATGAACACCAACAAGTTGAACGCTTATTGCACATCGTACAGCAGTTGACCGAACTTGATGATTTAGAAAAAAAAGTTAAAGTCATAACAAAGTTTCCGTAGGAGAACCTGCGGAAGGATTTTTACTGTATGACATACCATACACCCCTCAATAGATATTGAATTCGAGTACCCAACAAACAATTTGATTTGATCAACAGCTGAATAAGCCATTTTTAGGTGAAGAAGCTTGTTTTTGTATTCAGGCAAACATTCAATGTTTGTTTGGTAGTTCAGACCGAACGTGTGTCCTGGTGGGAAGACTTCCCAGCCGCTGACTCAGGCCAACCGAGCACGTTAGCCTGTGTGTTTTTTTAGGACTCTGTACCACGAGGAGGTGCACCGGTGTTACTCGTATGGTGTCGCAGCGCTCGCTCGCTCGACCCGTATACGAACGTACCGTACCGTGCGCCAGTGGTGTGCAGGGCCAGTCTGCGATGATTTACCAACCCGACCCATACGCAGCAGTATCATGCTTGCTGTTCTACATAAGATATACCCAAACCAGTGTTTTATGTTTGTTGCTCTCGAAATCTTCAAACCAAACCCTAGGAAGGAGATCACTCGGCTCGTTGATCGATGAAGACCGTAACTAAATGCGCGTAAGAAAGTGAACTACAGGACACATGAACACCGACAAATTGAACGCATATTGTATATCGTACAACAGTAAGATAAAAACATTTTTGATGCCTATACAATACATAGCTTCTTCAGAACTAGCGGTTCGAGGAAAACCTCTTTTGATGTTAGTCAGAAAATTACTCAATTTATTATAAGCAAACAGTTCACTTCCAAAGTGAAGATTAATGTACACTTACCGGGATCCAGTTAACCGATGTCAAGGAGTTATTTCAGTTCCAGTTGATGTTGTTGATGTCTTTGTATTTAATGGGACTTTAACCGTAACGGTCATCCATTCCAGTCGGGTTACTGCTGCCTAATCAATCGTTCTAAATATCACACCACACTTCAAATTGAACATTACGCTCACCACTATTGATCACCACTCTTGAACTTTAATCTCAGCCGTCATCTGCTCTTTTCCTGTTAATTAATTTCTTTCCACTGCATCACTTCACGCCAAAGGTCCAATAATAACTGACCAGAGCAATCTAATCTTTGGTGGTATTTATATGAATTAGTCAACAAAGAAAACATGTTTCATCTTTTATTTTACTGTACAGAGGCGGACCTCATAGGAATGAAAGATTGAAAAAAATTTCACAACGATAATATGACTTCATTTCGATCATAAGAAATGCCAATACAACAAACTCTTTAGTTGGGAAAATCAAATTGGTCGTCCTGAAAAGGACGGTTTTGTATGTTGGGTGCGGTCTCCGATTAAATTTAAGCCTTCTTCTCAGTCTTCTTGGGCAACAGGACGGCCTGGATGTTTGGCAGGACACCACCCTGGGCGATGGTCACTCCGGACAGCAGCTTGTTCAACTCCTCGTCGTTGCGAATGGCCAACTGCAGGTGACGTGGAATAATTCTGGTCTTCTTGTTGTCACGGGCGGCGTTTCCTGCCAACTCCAGAACTTCAGCGGCCAGATATTCCATCACGGCAGCCAGATAGACGGGAGCACCGGCACCAACGCGCTCGGCGTAGTTGCCCTTCCTGAGCAGACGGTGAATACGACCGACTGGGAACTGCAATCCAGCGCGGCTCGAGCGGGACTTTGCCTTTCCCTTAACTTTTCCTCCTTTGCCACGGCCAGACATGGTTCGATGTAGTAGGGTAGATTACAATGTGAAAATGAAACGAACAGCTAAATGCTGAACTTGTACTGATGTCGTTGTTGCTCGTCGATGGTGCTCTTATACCTGCGTCGAGCAGCATATTATGAGTATAAGGCGGGTAGCATAACACTGGTTTTGAGTAAAATACATAAAAGGGGACGAGTTTCGTTTATACCCGTAGCATATAAAACGAGACACAATCGTCTAAACGAAATTATTAGCGTTTTCTCTACTCAACTCAACAGCTTTACTATGGCACCAAAAACCAGTGGAAAGGCCGCCAAGAAGTCCGGCAAGGCCCAGAAAGTCATCGTCAAGGGCGACAAGAAGAAGAGGAGGCAACGCAGGAAGGAAAGCTATGCCATCTACATCTACAAGGTGTTGAAGCAGGTCCACCCGGACACCGGAGTCTCGTCGAAGGCCATGAGCATCATGAACAGCTTCGTCAATGACATCTTCGAACGTATCGCTGCTGAGTCGTCCCGTCTGGCTCAGTACAACAAACGCTCGACAATCACTTCCCGCGAAATCCAAACCGCCGTCCGTCTGCTGCTGCCGGGTGAGTTGGCCAAGCACGCCGTCTCAGAAGGAACCAAAGCCGTCACCAAATATACCAGCTCCAAGTAGATTTGTACCAAACTAAACAATCAATCGGCCCTTTTCAGGGCCACAAATCAATTTCCAGTGTGAAAGAGTTGAATTTTGAATGCAATTTTTGTAATTTTGGGTGTATATTTTATATTATCTAGAGCAATTTAGGTAGGTGCTGTTGTGTTTGTCATTGAGATTTCATACTTACGGAGTTTAAGAACATTTCATGAAAATTTTTGTTCTAGACAGTATTCCAATTGAACTTGAAATAAGAAAGTTATTCAAGTTAGAATCCAAGCTAATTTATTTTGCATTATTTCACAGCTGTTCATTTTGAAACACTGCGATGTTGGGGGGTGAGATGGCAAAATCGGATCGATGGGTGGTACGGTGCTACAATAACATATACGTTTGAGAGGGATTTCTGTTTACTGACTTTAACATAGAATATCTACAGGGTCAGGTTACAGAAAAACGATAATATGGGTATTTGTGGAATCGGAGGGACGCGTAGAGACTGGAAATCGATGTATTACGCCATTTTGAAATCCAAGATGGTGACTACCGGTTGCAGAAAAACTGGGAAATACTATCAAATACCCTTCAATAAGGGTATTTTTGGGATTAGGCTGACGAATAGCGACTGGAAATCTATGTCTGATGCCATTTTGAAATCCAAAATGGTGGTCATCAAGAAAATTTCCAAGAAGTATAGAATTCTATGTCGACTGAAAAACGATTTAACTATTGCCAGTTAAATACAGCTATGCAAATCAATCATCGCTCCTCATCTAGACTTTTATTTTTGGCCAAATCGTCTCAAATACCTATCGAGATTACAGCACTTGTAGAATAAAATAATGCGTTTGATTTTGAGATGTAATAGATTCACTTCCTCAACTTTGATGCTAGACGCCTTACAATGGTTGTTGGTGAAGCAAAGAATTGTACATCTGACTATGGTGTTCATTTTTTAAGTAGTTAACGGGTCTGCTGCCTCGATATTTGTGTGGTCGAATTGAAAGAGGAAGTGACTTTCATAGATATAATACTAGAAACGCTGTTGAAATCAGAACACCACATTTCTTGACTTGTGCTTCACAGAATTCATTATTTTTTAAAGGAATAAATGTTTTCAATTCGATGCCTAGACACATTAAACGTGCAACAACATTAGCAGAATTTAAGAGACACTGCATCGTTTGAACAGTTATCCAGTGATTTTTTAATGAATTGACAAATGATGTATCTTGACGAAGTTATCTCTAACGGATTATTTTATATGGATAGCTGTCTTGCGACTTTTTTAATATTTATTGTAGCACTGCAAAAACTATTTCTGTTCACCACGATGGTGATGATGGAATTTTAATATTTGATTTAATAGTAGATTAATTTAAAAAAAAGTAATCTACAAAGGTTTGAGCCTCGCGCGCGTATTACGGATATAGAAAACTAAATTTAAAATTTGATTAAAAAAAAAATGCAATTTTGAAGCTTATTTGGAAGATACCTTGAGTTAGTAATAAGTTTTCTGGCAAATTTTGGGGGTACCTGACATTGCCGAAAATTATGATAGCATCAAATTGCGGGGTTGCTAGTGTAATAGGATCATTTGTTGATTGTTCATTAACTCTTGATTGCTTGTAATACTTATGAATATTTTAGGTGGACAAAAAGGCGAACTAAGAGGTGGACTTCTGAGATTTTCCACATTTATATCGCTGTGAAGCAACTGTAAACTCTTGAGGGAATTTATATCTGTAACTGACACCAGTTCTATTTTGTTTGCTAACCTGGTTAAAATGTCATATTTAATTATCTTAAAGATAAATCGTCTAGCTCAAACCTTTGTAGGGTGAGAGGTGGGACCATCATCATCTATCTATCATCTATACACAAACTGGGAAGATTGTACGACTTTTCCCCGAAAACCAGTTCCCCGGAAACACTTTCCTCGAAAGTTTTATCTCCGAAATACGATTCCCCGAATGAACCAGTTCCCCGAAAGGAACGTTTACCCGAAAACTATTTCCCCGAAAGAACTAGTTCCCCGAAAATAACAATTTACACTGTGCGATCTATTTAAATATGATCCTTGGGTTTGTTACAACTTATCCATATGAAATTGAGAAAAATATCTTTGCTGAATATTGATAAAGTCGTTCAACACCCTAGATAAAGTTTGTGGTTATGACTTGTTATGACATTTGGCGGTTTATCAATTTGATATCTGATTGTAATGAGCATAAAGACTGAGCTTTAATATAAAGAAGGGAAAATTGTGTCAGTTTCATCAAATCTTTCGCTGGTTAACTACTTGTATCGAACAATACCACAATACACATATCAATGTGTGTCGAATTAAAGTGGACTCTACACGACTGTTTGTATTGACAATAATCGTATTGTCAATGCATTTTATATTGACGTCAATACATCGGTATTGACAATATATCTGTATTCACATCATCAATATTATTGTCAATACTTTTAAGTATTAACAATATTTCTTACCGTGTGGGATTCGCTTAACACAATAGTTTGACTTTCGTTA